TAGCGTTCTCTCCCAACTATATAGTGCACATCTTGAAGTCAAAAAACTCGTTGAGTGATTTTTATCCATAACAAAATGTTTGCAAAAGTAGTTTCTTTTTGTATATATATTTGAAAGCTGAATTCTTGGCATCTTCATTTACTTTCTCACAGTCGTCTTTAATGTTTTTCTGAGTAATTTGCTACATTCCTTCGTGCATTACCACCAGTTATAGATAAGTGGAACAGAGTGAAAACTGCTGGTAGTTGTACCTCATTATCCATGTACACATGTGTGCGTCACAAGAAGGAAAAACAGGGATCCACTAATAAAAACATTGCTCCACAGCACTACTAGTGGACACAATCTCCACAAGATATCTTTTCCTCATAGAGCTACTCACAAATATTTAATACTAATAAGATTACATCTTTAGCCAGATTGGAACATTTTGTTTTCATCCTTATCTCTTTATAGCCATGTCTGTCTTGAGTATTTTGGTGTGACACTTAGTGCCACCGAACATTTTTTGGATTTAGATGTGATTTGCTCAGAGCTTACAAAAACATTGTGTTCCAAAAAAATCACAGCAGCCAACAGTGACATAATATCAAAAAACTGGGGATCCAGCCTAATTTGGTAAGGTTGCTCCAACAGTAAAGTAAGCTTCAGTTTGTTTATAACCAACTTTACAAGCACGAGCCAGAGTCGCAGATGACTGGCTACAGATGAAACAAAACATTCCTGTGAGGTTAGAATGACTGAAGATGGAGCAGGTCCAGAGAAGCGCAAGAGGAAATAAATTTATTTTAAAAAGGAGAAGGAGTTTCTTCTGTACCACAACAACAGCTGACATGTTGCGCTGTCATTGCACATATCTTAAACCACAGCTGTCAGTGAAAGATTATTACTCCGGGTATGTGTTTTGCTAACTGCGAACCTTCGCTAAATTCTTCAAAGGTGATCACGTGTGTGGAGAGTGTGAGCAACGAAGAGCTGCATAAAATCATCGGCTTGAACTTTAAGATGATTAGTATTCACTACACCTCTTCTCGTTGTCATCTGGCTTCTCGGCACAGTGCGGCAGTGCACAGGCAGTGGGAGTGATTCCAAGGTGTGAATGGCCTTAACCTTGCATTGTTCCTGCCCTCCAACTTCTTTCCATTCTCACTCATGTGTGAAACATTTGCTGTGGTCAGGCGCCGCGTTCATCTCTGTGTTGCAAACCGTGCTGCTGTGCAAATGGTGATGAGAACATCTCTCCCAGTAGAACATTTCCAACGCCGATGCCAGGTGTAACGGCGATTCAAAGCACTGTGAGACTTGTGTTAGAGTGACAGTGCGATCATGTATGTTTCCGTCTTTGTGTGCCCACTTCCTCACCCACCCAGGGTATGGAGCTTTAGCCCTCATGCGTGTTGCTATGGTTGGTGTTTGCAGGCTTAGTTGTGCCAAGCCTGGGGTCTTTGGGGACAGTGACGAACTCAGACATGATTAATCAGATCTACTGACACTTGAGCGCAGCAGGATTAGCCCAGTTGGCCACCGACATCCAGGCTCTACCTCACCAGCCTCCTCCTTCTCCCCCCGGTGCTTTTCTAACATTACACTTTAATCCTTGGATCCTCCTTTGCTTGCTTAATTCACTTTTTTCAAAGGTTTTCTGTTGAAATTGGCAGTAAGTCTTACTGTTTGTAGCCACTGCAGTGGCTGTGTTCAGATACTGAGCTTGTGTGAAATTATCTATGTGAGAAACAGAAGCTTTGTAAGTAACAGTTGATTTGATCATTGGTCATTAGCTTTATTTATCAAGTTAAAAATTTAAATGTCTGTTGGAAGATGAGATTATTCAACAGGTAAAGTGCATTTAAGAAGTCAACCCACATCACCTTCAAATTTTTTAGATAAGAAGTTAAGTGATGAAATAAGGATGTAATTTTAAAAGTAAAGGTGTGTAAGCAGCCAGTGTTTTCCTATCATCCTCCTATCTTCCTCTTATTTTCTGTGACTTTCACTGTGACTCTCTGGCTTGCCAGTTGACACAGTCGTGAAAAGAGGCCATGCTGTAACCGAGAGATCTATATCTGGGTTCGATTGACTGAGCAAAGCGTCCTTGAGAAAGCCACCCGACTGTTGATCTATCTGTTTCATCTAAAATCTGTAAAGTTGCCATATCTGCTGTCTTCCTTTCCCTCTCGTTCCTTTGCTCTAACTTTTTATGACTGCAGAGGAAGGCTTTGGCTGTGGCCTAGTATCCCAATAAAATTGCCCTGCCTTTTCATCCTTTTCTTAAATTAACCAAAATGGCCTTCAAACCTGATTTAAGTCCCAGAGTGTGTCCTGGTCTCCAAAAGACAAAGGCATATTCCTCATATGCTCTTATGCTAATCCACTAACTGTTAACAAATCATCAGCATAACTTCTGATTATTGTTTCTCATGAAACCATGACACTTGTATCGTATTGCCTTTTGGTTATCTGTCCTTAGTCGTGTTGTGTCTATAAGCTAACTGTGTGCTTGTCTGACTACGAGTGTTTTTTTGTTGTCAGGTCTCTTTTGGAAAAGACAGCTCAATGTCAGTGAGACGATCTGATTAAAAAAACACAATATGTATATAAACCATTTAAGCAATCAGATTACTGCTGAAAAATAACCATGTCCACATTACTGAGATGCATGTAAACACACTATCAGTACAGAAGTTATCGTGAGCACTTCAGACACTCACGGTACTTTATGGTCATGATTCTAGTACAAACAATTCACAGCCTCCACATTTGTTTTGGCTCAGGTTTTTATTTCTAAGCCTGTTATTATGCCATTTGTTTTTAATTGAAGATAAGTTGTTATTGCTGCACTGCTATATGATTTGCTCTCCCCACCTGAATGTGCAATTTCAGCACTACTGCAGCTTTTCACGCTTACTATCACCCGAATGTAGGAGGTGTCATTGTGAGACTTCTTCAAACCAATGAAGAAGTGGGTTTATTGATAGCTGACACTTTATCATTATAGTCACCCATTACACGCCAGTACTGCTGTTGGACTAAATAACCAGTGCTTGGATGTGCAGTGCACTCACTGTCAGATATAAGGACTAAAGAGAAGGGTGAGAAGGAGAGTGCAGGAGAAAATAAATAAGTTAAATGGAGCATCTTGGTTGTGTGACAGAAGATGAGTAGGGGGCATGGAGATGTGAGGCTAGGATAGAGGCAAAGTGTAAGATTCTCTTTCCCAGAATAAACCTTTTCCCTGGAAGTGCCAAGTGCTGTGGCATCCTATCCCGCATGGCATGGTCAGTGTGTGTGTTGGTGTGCATGCTCTTGTATTTTGTGTGTGTGTGTGTGTGAGAGAGAGTCCGTGCAGCACGTGAGTGTTTCCCTGTGTGTTTGGCACTGAGGGAAAATTATTCCCCTAGCTGCAGCACGAGTGGAACTTACACATGAACTTGCCTGGCTGTGTTTAGGTCTCTGTGTTTACGCTGTTGAATGTGAACTGACATGTTATTGCTTCCAGAGAGGAGTCTCCAGCGTTAGACTAATACCTCACGATGTAGAGCATACACACTTGTAACAATAACAGAGGGGAACTGGGATCGCCTGCGACGATTCAGAGCTAAACAATGACATTTAGTAGCACTGGCTGCGACATTAATTCATTGGACTTGCAGGGTTGCTGTCCAGGCCCGGATTGTTTGTCATAACAGAAGGCCAACACAGCAGCAGTTAATCGGTTAGCTAGCACCAATGATGTCACTTTGTTAGTGGGAAGGAACAGGTGCTGCTTGTCCTCAAAGTAGCAGACATAACCCTGGCCAGAAATGCTTGGGAGTCTTTCGTGGTGTGTTCCACCTCACACACACTCATACACACACCTTTTACAGAAACAGCTGGTGCATATAAAACAAGACCCTCATCTGAGTGGAGCTGACATGATTGTTTACGGACTAATTCCTTGTTTAATTTTGTTAAATCCTATTAAGTAAAAACCAAGATGAATACTAACAATATCACATCCTCAGCTACCAAGAAGCACAGTGGAAGTATAGTTCAGTATCAGTTACTTAACAGCCTAAAAAAAAACTTCAGTGTCTGCAGGGACGACCTCGAAGTCTTTGTACATTTCAGTCACATCACTTCCCTAAATTCTCATTGTGTTGAAATGAAACTGATTCTGCAGCCAGTGGTGCAATACACTGCGCTTGCATGATCTTGCAGCTGTCCATTTTTTTTTATATTGTTACCCTGTTAAGATGGTGCTTTTAATTAATTACTACATAATAGGTAATTTAACATTCACTTGCTGTCTTAAAGCTAATAAGCTTTCAGGATTGACTTGTAAGATTCGTTTGACTTTTAAGCTACCAAGATGAGAATGAGTGGGCAGCACAGTGTTCAAAAAGGTCAAAAATGGTGCAGCTCCTTTTGTCCAGCGCCGTGTTCCTTCAAACTCTCTCTCCCGGCCTCTGCGTTATGTAACAAGCACTTCCTGTTTTCAAATGACGCCGCAATCAGGCCATATGCACTATTTTTTTCTCCATGTGCTCTCAAATTGAAGCTGGTCTCTTTCAGTCTAAGCTGTCATCATTTTTTTTTTCCCCTCGCATCTTTTCGGCTGCATTTGCTGTACCTTTCTCACTGACTCTGATGAATGATTACTGTTTTTTCAGACACACACACACACACACTACTCATACACACACAAAAAAAGAAACCAGAAACAGGAAGTGTGTTGTAGTCTGAGCACACCCTCATTGTACCCGCCTTCTTGGTAACTTCAAAAAAAAGAACGAAAGACGGTGTAATGGGAGGATGAGCTGGGTGCCAAAGAGTGCAGGTCCTCTTCGTGTCAGTCCAAACATAACTGTGTTCCTTGGCTTGCTTATTTACCTGAATGTGGCAACTGGACTGCTGATCACGGGGCTTTAAGAGCTTCATCGCTGCAGTTTCTGATCCTCACCGGCCTTCACTCACTTTCTCTTCTTCTCTTTCTCCCCCTCACCTCCGCTGTCTCCATGCAGTCCTCCAGCTCAAGCTTCAACAGAGACGCACGCGAGAGGAGCTGGTCAGTCAAGGGATCATGCCACGTAAGTCTGCTTTAAACTTGTAAAGCTGAGGGGAGGTTTTTCTGGTTTAAATGTACTGTACTGCGTTTTCATTTTAACATGTATGTGGTACACTGTTACATCTACTGCCAGTGATGCAGATCTTACATATTACCGAAAACCCCAACCTGACTCAGTCTCACTTTGCCCATCAGTTTTATTTAGTGTGTGGAACATCTTAGTATTGTGACCCGTTATAGAAGCCCATGCAGACAATAAGGGCAATGTGTCTGTGCCTCTGAGCTGTAGTCAAAGTGTTAACTCTTCTCTGCTTCAGCATCAGTCAGCATAGACTGAGTCGTTATATAATACTAACGCTGAGCTATATATATGTATGGTTATTTGATTCTCATGCTAAATGTCCCCTATGCTCTTGCATAACTGAATATCTATAACTGCAACATGAGAAGTGTTGATAAATCATATCTTTCATTGTATCATAGTATATAGTATTGTGACTGTTTTCTGTCAGTTTTTTTGCTGGAAATGTCAGCCCATATCTGCATTATCACTATGAGTATATGCGTTCTGCATGTGTCATTTTTAGTTGAGTCTTTGCACCACTTTGTGTTATCAAATAGGACAGCTTCCTCTTCTACTCTATCCACTTCCTGATTCAGAGTTCCGCACATCACAAGAAGCAGAGATATACTGTTTTGTTTTTTGTTTTTTTGAACATTTTCCTCCGTTTAAGTGTAGACTGTAGCTATGGGCAACAAGTGCCAGACTTTGTTTTAAAAACACAAAGATAAACCATCTTTATTGACCAAGTGATCTCAGAGTAGAAAAATATCTCCACAGTGAGGCAGAATACCTGAGAAGGTGACTGATAGGCCTGTTCAAACAGAGAAACAGAGATGCACAGAAGACATCAGGTGCATCTCAAGAAGGTGAAACAAGTAGGCGTGAATGCATCTTTTTCCTGGGTAGCACAACCACTTGCAACATGCTATTTCAAAAGCAACATCCCAGTGGCAAGTTTTTTTTTTTTTTTTTTACCTTGCACTTGGCTGTGTTCCTTCACTGCTGTGGGCAAGTGAATTAGTTGGCAAATCAGTCTGCTAAAAATACCCCTAAGGTCATAAAACTGGTTCACTTTGCATATAAAGTATGTGTTCGGCATAAAAGAATGCAATGGAGTGGACACTCCCTTGTCGAAGTGCTGGGCTTGTTTTAGTGGGCAGCATGGAGTCACACATTCAACCATTTAGTAGTTACAGTAAATCTCTCTGTGTCCTCCTTCTGCAACAGGCCTCATGCCAGACCGCTGCTGTATTGGGATCAGCATGTTCTGGTCGAGTATTTCACTCTCAAACTCTTCCTCAGTGGAGATTCAAAGAGGAAGAAAAACATGGGTTTAAATGAGAGTCTTAAACGATTGCTCCCAAGGTGACGGCTCGGCCGACTGCAAGATTTTACTAAAAGCTTTTATTTTGACTGTTGCCTTGAGACACAGCAAAGCAGCGCAAAGGCTGTTTAGACGTCAAGGCAACTGTTGAACTATAGGACAGTAAAGATCAGGACTCCACTCTTCACTCAGTTCATCTTTGTTCCACTGTCAGGGAAATTGTGTCATGAGTGTCATTTGTATCGGTTGTCTCAGTTTGTATTAATGAACACGTTTAAACAAATCTCAAGTGAAAACAATTAGTACGATTTATTGAAGCTTTTGTTTTACAATTGGAAACAATTTATACAGACTCCATAACTCTAGGTCTGCAATCATTGCTGTCATCATCATTAATGTTCAGATTATATATTTGTGTTTTGTGATATTAACCCATTGACCATTTAATTTATAAAACATCTGAAACATCTGGACCGTCAGTCCAAAACTTAAAGATATTCAGTCTAGTGTTAAGACAGTCAGCATCTTATCACATTTGAGGAGCTAACACTGTCTTTTCTTTCTTTTTTTTTTTTTCAATTGAAAAATGGCTCGAATAACTAATCAGTTTATTTCCTCTTATGTTCTTGGTAGTGTCAGAATGTGTTATCAACCATGTTGCCCAGCCGAGGAGACGGTTAGGCCTGAGAACTGACGCAGGGTCAGTTCCTGCTGTGGTATTAAATTCTCACACTGGTTTTGCCGCTGTAGGTGGTGTGAATGAGCAACTTTCCACCCTCCTGCCCTCCCTCAGTTAACATTGTCTAGACGTTTCTGAGCAAGGCACACTTCAATTGCTGTTGTTGCCACGTAACAGGGTCAGAATAGCAGAGTTTTAGCAAGGGTCAAAGTTGTAAATGGAGTTAGATTGTGTGCCCGATAATTATAACGCATCTGAAAATGCTGTGTAGGTGCCAAAGGTTTTCAGTTCCTCTTTGCATATAACTTTCAGGGTTTTTTATTTTTTTTCTTTGCTCTATGTTTAGTTTATTTCAGACTGTCAGAAGAAACAGCTTGCAAGAAGCACTGTTGATTTGCTAGATCATTCTGAGAAACCTGGACACTTTGCTGCTTGCTCTGCTTCCCTATTGTCTCTCTGTGTGTGTTTTGAAACAGGAAAGATATTGTTTAAATTAATTGCACACGTCATAAAGGCAAAATTTAGGACACACAGTTAGATACGCTCCGGCTTCCTCCCACAGTCCAAAAACATGTTGAGGTTAATTGGTGATTCTAAATTGTCTGTAAGTGTGCTTGGTTGTCTGTCTCTAAGTGTGGCCCTGTGATAGACTGGTGACCTGTCCAGGGTGTCCCCTGCCTTCGCCCTAAGTCGGCTGGGATAGACTCCAGCCCCCCGCGACCCTAGTGAGGATTTAGCGGTGTATAGACAATGGATGGATGGAGTTAGATACGCGCTGCTCTTGTGCAAAAATACACTGAAAATGTCAATGGCTACAATATGAGATGGACTGCAGTAACAGACCAAGTAATAACAGCGAGACTCTTAGAATTGTCCTCAAATGTATTCATACCCTTCCATTAAAGAAAAGGCAAAATTCAAAATAGTCACTCAAATAACTAGAAACTGAAAAAAGTAATAATAAATAAAAATTTGCTAAATTATGATTTAGTGAAATAAGACATTGCTTCTGAATTCTGGTTGGAAAAAATATATATATAAATATATATATATATAAGAAACTGTCCCAGACTAATTAGAGCACTTTGCTGATGAGCAGTGGGCCAAAATCAAAATACTTGTCAACAGGTGCAGAAGTCTGATTGAGAGTTACAGAAAACACTTGATAGCAGTGATTGGCTCAAAGGGTTGTTCAACAAAATATTAGTTTGCAGGTCCTATCGTGCTTGTTTGCTCTTTTTTTTTTTTAGTTTGTTTGTTTTTTGCTTTTCAAATATTTCTATTGAACCACAATTCAAAAGCAACGTCATGATTTTCATTAAACTTTTTATTTACAATTTCTTTTGTCAATTTTAACTTGTTTCAGTGACAGCTGTTTTTTTCCTTCTTTAATGGGAGGGTATGAATACATTTGCGGACGACTGTAGGTAACTAAAGGTTGCATCTAAACATTGCTGTGAAAGTGAAAGTCATGTGTTGAGAGACAAGCTGCTGACTATACCTCACCGTTTAGCTTGTGCTTTCTGAGAAACAAAACAAAAAAAGCTGTAGCTAATGTGCATGTCTAGTTTGGAGGTGACAACAGTAACTTCATTTTTTCATGGTTCCTCAAGTCAAAACCAACATTTCTCTTTTTTAAGTGTTACCAGAAACTGTCGGCTCATTGCTGTCCAAGATTTCAAAAAAAAAAAAAAAAAAACAGAAGAAGAAAAGGCACAGACCATGATAGGTAAACATAAAACAAAACAGATTTGGTGTCACTCTACCTTCTTTCTTAAGTTTCAGTGATCAAGGTCACTGTCTGCTTATTCCCCAAAAAAGGCCAATATGAATGTAAACTGATACCAGCCCAGCCCTCCCTCATCAATACGTAAGAAATACTTTGTTGAAATTTCAAATCATTTATCCGAGTTGTTTCAGTAGTTTATCATAACAGGATCAGTTTGAGCTGTTTTGTTGTGATCTTGACCGTTGGCGATGTCACAACTGGTATGCAGGTCTTTTTTGAATGTCAGGGGCTGTGACATGAGGAATGCTTCCGACCCCCACCCAGTCGTCTGTGGCACACATACAGTTGACGCCCTGCTGTAGCCAGAATGTCCACACTCACACACCCTTGGCAGGGATTTCGCCAGCTCTTGACCAATCAGATGTTTACTTTCTTACATCATTGTAACTGCCACTGTCCTCCCAATATCCTTCCCCAAATATAGTAGGGACATCGTTGTCAGTTTAGCTTTTCAAAACACTCGTCTTTACACTTGTAATGAAGGAGTCTCTAATGTTAAATGTCTAATTCAAAACCGTTTGATTCTTAATCTTCAGTTGCTTTAGGCCCAACACTGCGGTGGCAGCGAGAAGTAATAATGCGTTTTGTAATCTCTGCTTGTGCGATGGCCTTTCCCACGCTGATAAATTATACAAATTGAATTGTAAGATAAAATTCAGTGTGATTTTTCAAATTAGACAGAAGTGATATATTTTTTTGTCTTCATTTATTCTCCACAGTAACACGCTCTTTTTCTCCTGAGACAAGTCCAGCCAGGTACAGGCTCTAGGCTGCAACTGACTTGCTAGAATTGTATAAATACATATTCCCACTCTTTCTCTCTCTCTCACACACACACCACAGAAACACTCACACCCTCACTCATAGACTAGGTACATTACAGACGGTCATGGCTGAGTGCAGTGATGAATGCCGACTCTTTTTGTGTGTGCAGCAGTCTATCCATCAGTCCACCCTCACCTCTGTCCTCTCGCTCCTTTTTAAAGATCCACTCCAGACTACTGTTCATCAAGAACTGATGTCCCTCAGACTTCCAGCCACAGTCGATCTATCAGACTTAATGCAGAGAGTTGGCGTCTGAAATAGTTTTAAACTTATTAGTTTCTGTTTGCTTTGTACAAATCTGTGAATGCACCGTGATTGTCAGCACACATTGGTCACGTTTTCTGTTTAAAATAATAATACAACTATCATGAAGCAGGTTATTGTGATGATTTCTAAAAGTATGTAAATGTTCAGTCAGAATATGTGCATTAGTGATGCTTGTGTTTTTATATTTAACGTAGAGTGACACTAATTTCCTGACAAAAACAGCCACAAATGTCCAAATGTAGGTTGATGTTGACTTCTTACTTAAGTTCTCGATATGGAGAAACTGGGCTGAATAACTTGATTAGTTGAGCTCCCAGTTGGGAGTAGGGTTACGTTTATTTTATTGAAACTTCTGTGTGAGAAAGTTTATGGTCATGGTTACAGGTGTACGCTGTGACTATGCTGAGCAGGTAATGTATGCAGACCTTTTGCTGCTTTCGCTGCAGCATCACTGCATTTCCTCTAAATTCAAAGAAACTAGATACATCAGGCTTTGAAGCAGATGTAAAAACAGGTCGGTCTTCTATGTCTATTATTTACATAAGATATGCGCAACCCTTTTACACAGAAACGAGTCATGACGTATTTACTACTACTTTGTGTCAAGCAGGACTTACACTTTGGCGTCTTTAACACTTCATTGGCATTTATTTCGTCAGTGTCAGCCAACGATTGCTTAATAGCTTAATCTCTTACAGAGTCAACTGTATTGTGTAGATGTTAACTTCCCATTTTACACCAACTTGGTGAAAAAGTTTGTGACAGCGTTGTGCTGAATTCAAAAGCTGAAAACCACGAGCCCGTGCTATACGAGCGCTGCAGGTGTAGTAAAAAGATAAATGCTGTGGACCATCCACTGGGGGAAGTCTTCATACGTTTTGTGGTTAATGTAGTTGAAGAAATACGGTTCCATTGATGTGTCTGAAAATGTTATCCCTTAAACCAAACTTATCTGAGTTAACTCCCTGTAAGTGACTATAATTTGATACTTCCTGCAGCTCCGTCAGTGTAAGTGCCACAATGAGCACAATCATAGCGTGACTGTGATGCGAACCGTGGAGTAACAAGCTTAAGAAGACATTTGCAGTAAAACATTTTCTTGGTGATAACTGAGGTGGCCTCCACTGCAGAAAACATACTTAATGCCTGCACACATAGCAGAGGCACATCAGCCTACTAAGCTGACATCAGAGTGTGTGGTTTAGAATAGCACTCCTGACCTTCTCTCACAGCAGCCACTTCTGCTTTGAGTCTGTCTTCCACTGTAGCTGTATCTGTTCTCACATTGTCACTTGCTGAAAGGAGCATCACGACTCCCGTCAGGGTCTGCCTGAGCTGCATTCATCTCTCTCCTTCTTTTTGTTTCTCCCTCCATCCCCCCTGTCCATGCAGCACTGAAGAGCCCTGCAGCCTTTCACGAACAGCGGAGGAGTCTGGAGCGAGCGAGGGTGAGTGTCATAAGTACAGTGAGCGTCAGAGGATTTTCTTTAGCGAGGCAAAAAATGTTTATGCAAAAGCAAGACTTGTGTAAAACGTAACAAATTGAAACCTTGGCTGCCATGCAGACGGTGCAGTATGAAGCTTTGCATAGCAATTTGGTTGTTCGGTATTATTAGCATGTTTTTTTTTCACTGCTCATATTTAGATTTACCTCTCACTGTTGAGAGGAGCTGCCAACATGTTAGATTTAGATGAATAATCTGCACCTGGTGCGCTACATTCTACTACTGCCCTGTATTTTGCAATGGTAATACAACCAAATCCTGGTTTGTAGAGGCTCATGCAAAGTTGGCATGCGAAAAGTTGGCAAAAGTTCTTCCGCACAAATGTACCCCCCAGAAAGTAGTGAGAATGAACAAGAGCGAATTCATAGTACTGAACACACAACAGGAGACCTCTCTATGAGTGTGGTGTGGAGACAGAAACCACAAAATAGTATTTTATTGTTTTGGAGGCAAGTGTGAAGACTTAGTTTACTGTCTCCTTCTGTCTTTCTGCCTTTTCTGCTTTGTGTTTTCACTGTGTACTTTTCTTTCACTTTGTGCCCTTTTTCATGTGTGTTTCCCCTCGTTTCCTCTGCAGACCGAGGACTACCTGAAAAGGAAGATCCGGAGTCGTCCTGAGCGCTCTGAGCTGGTCAGGATGCACATTTTGGAGGGTGAGTTTTACTAATAAGTGAAACTGTATTTCAGGTTTCAAGATTTGCATTTTCTTATCGTCATTAACAGTTAATGTCTTAAATCAAGTAAAACACATGAAACCTTTTTGGAAGGGAAGCATACTGTAAACGAAACCGAACCAATTCCTCGTGATAAACTCTCGACATAGTTCCTACTTAACATTTGTGTGCAGACTGAGTTAAATAGTTTGATAGCGCTGCATGGGCCTCAATAATCAAGTCCTAAATTACTTTAAAAACAATTTCCCACTCACACTTCCCCATAAATCTTCATTACACCAGCTTTATGAGGAGACATGCTTAGTTTTTATGTTAGTCATTTTAAGTCTCATGTGTTATCAGTGCGAACAGCTGGTTTACTTTTGGTTTAATTTTTAAACTGAGCTTGAACTCAAATCGAGGAAGTGCTGAAAAAAAAAACGGCCCAAAACGCAGTATCTGTGATCTTCAGAGAGCCAATTTCCTATCAGAATATTTTGAGCATATCCACAGAGATGAGAGGATTATATGTCAGTTCACTTCCCGTATGTTACGAACCCACCTACCTGCTTGTATCTTGTTTTTGCTTTAGTTCAAAATGAATCTCTCGATAAATAAATTTGCACGTATGCATGATGTCCTGCTGTGCCCTCCACAGAGACGTCGGCAGAGCCGTCTCTGCAGGCCAAGCAGCTGCAGCTGAAGCGAGCGCGACTGGCCGACGACCTCAATGACAAGATATCTCACAGACCAGGTCCCATCGAACTGGTGCACAAGAACATCCTGTCTGTCAGCTGCCCTCTGCAGCACTCACCGCTGGGTAACTATACACCTCACAACATTTAGGTGCACTTGGGGACAGCACAAGATTCTCAGAACTTAACATTATAGATACTTAAAACACACCTATCACCATCAAATACGTATAAACACATGCATTTTAACATAATATGATATGATATATATATTCTCCAGTTGAACTGACTGAAGAGACAGTGAAATATACAGTAGATTAAATCACATATCGATAAACCAAAGAAGCACATTGATATACATTTATGACATTCAAACAAGCATGTTGGTGTTGTAATCCGTGCACACACACACACTTGCGCAACATTTGGCAACACTTGAACACTGCTGTATTTAGCTAGGCTTCTAAAGACAAAACACTGGACAGGTTGAGGTGCATTCAAACTATATCAAACGTCAATCCTGCGATGACTACAAGGGTTGTACTCAAGTTAAAACATGTTCACCTCCGCCGCTGTGTTGCCACTTTACCTAATGACAGTTGCTCCACCTCTAAGATCTGATTTCCGTTCAGTCTGTACACACGTCAGCTGAGTAATTACAACATCCAGGTAACGACAAGCAGGTTAGTGGTATCAAACTCAGTACTTAGTAATAGCTGTAGGATCTATAATTGCAGTAGATGTGATACCATTTAAACCTAACCACACAACTGTGTTGCTGAAATGACACAGCAAGCTTTGTTTGGACATAGTCCTGTTTTGAAACATGAGCTACAGAACATGCAGTGTTGTATAACTTCTCTAAAATTAGTCATTGTTGATTGCTAAACAGCAATGACTTTGTTTGACTGTTACGCATTGTGGGAAAGCCACGAATTGACCTGTTGTATCTTGGAGCCCCATTCCATTAACTGGGAAAATTTCCAATTTCTGCAACCATTTTCACTCTTTTACAGACCACAGAAGTTCATAACAGACCACCAAATGATGCCACAATGAATTTATTGTTTCACTGAATCTACAAATATTTCTGCTCTGTCACAGATTCCCCAAAGGGAGCCGGGGGAGAGAGCTCATCTTTAGATGAAGACAGCAGTGATGCTCTGTCACCAGACCAGCTAACCAATCACGACTCTCCCCTGAGTGCCGTCCCTCAGCTGTCGCCCTCTGACGTCCTCACCCAGAATGGGGACATGTCTCCCACACAGGTATTACAGCAGCATGCAATTTTAATCAAACTAAGAGAATGTAAAGAGGATTACTTACTAGAAATTATTTAAACCAAATACAAAGATTTTACATTATTAACAGGAAGCAAGTGATTCTTAACATGATCACACAAATAATGAATATCTTCTCATCAGTTTCTTACACAGCCCCCACCTCCACCTCCTCCGCCACCTCCCGCCCAGGTGAACGGGTCCGAATCCTCCCCTCTCCCAAAAATGACAAATGGGACAATGGTGACCTCTGCATCCTCTCGCCCCTCCAGTGGGCAAGTCAAGGTACAAAAAAAGCTGCTCTCTCCTTTGAATACTGGCTTGTTTTGAGTTGAACATCCTGCAGATTTCATGACTTATGAACAATTGTGACCTTAATCTCTATTTGTAGAGTAGCTATAACTGGCTAACCCTCCCTCATCTCTTCATTTCCTTACTTCCCCCTCTCCAACCCCATTTCTCATGGTTCTCTGCAGTCTCAGGCTAAGTCGAGTTCAGACCGTCCTCCCCAGAGACCTAAGAAACCAAAGGACAGCAAGCCCAAGGTCAGCAAGGTCTTTGTTTCATTTTCATTTCAGCAGACACTGATACAGGAGTTACAGCTCTGAGAGACTTCAGTAAGAGATTATAAATTACACATGAGTCAACAGATAAGGGTGGTTGTTTGAATCTTGTTTGACTACTTTTAATGCAGTTCAGCTTTGAAGAATTTAGATAGTGTTTGATATATTTTGATTTAGGTTTATTTAGTCATTCAACCTGCTGCTAAAACATTGTGAGAAATATTGACAAGCTAGTTGAAGGTAACTTAGTGCTTTTGGTGTATCTTCCCTCAGAATCATAGAGCAGGGGGGTTTCTGACCTTGTAGTGAAAAAGGAAGTGATAACATTTTTTGCGACCACGATATTCTCAGCACATCAGAATATAAACTTGTTTTTCTTAACTGAAAGTACTCGATCTTTTCTTGTAGCTGTGTTATAATTAAGGTGTTTCCTCCTACATGTACTAAATACACACACATTTCCCCTCGCAGTTTCTTGGTGTCTTTTTTACTCCTGTCCTGTTTTTTATCACTGTGGACTCATTTTTTTGCTGCAGTTTAAATTCTTTAAAATAAATTTTTAAAAAAAAATAGAAATAAAAAAAAGCAAAAACGAAAGTTGAATTTCTTTGATGATTTCTTTTAAAAACTGAAAAAAAATCTGGAATCAACATGTCAAGCATTTTAAGTTCACTGATGTTACTGGAAAAATGGTGTCTCTACTATTCTATAGACATTTTTACTACTGTTGGTCACAGCTCAGCCACTAATGACTTCACAGTTGCACCAAGGAATACAGAATTGTTTTGTTTTTTACAGAATTTGGCTAGTGTTAACCACATATTTTTAAACTAGATTTGTAGGATAAAGTCCTTTTGAATAAACTTATTAAGCTGAGCTTTGATTTCCATCGGAATGGCACGTCACAGATGAGTAGTGAACAGACTGTCGAAAAAGGTTGAAAATCTGACCATTATTTCTATTTTCGCATTCTTTTGCCCTGATAAAGTGTTGAATTTTTGTGATGTTAGATTTCTGCCTTTCAAACCTGCTGGTGTTTTGGGGTTCAGAAGGTGAAAACTTTCGAAATATACAGAATTCCGTTTGAATGTCTTTTGTTAACGTCTGTAGACCAAAACAAGATGAGTGTAAAACTTTGACAAACATTGTAAAAGTATTTAGGGATTGAGTTATCTCTTAACCTTCCCTCCTTCTCTGTGAAGGTGAAGAAGCTGAAGTACCATCAGTACATCCCTCCAGACCAGAAGGCCGACAAGGAGCGTCCGCCTCAGATGGATTCATCCTACGCGAAGCTCCTCCACCAGCAGCAGCTCTTCCTGCAGCTGCAGATTCTCAGTCAGCAACAGCAGCACTACAACTACCACACCATCCTGCCCGCCCCTCCCAAGTGAGTGTTGAGATGGCAGCCTGTGTGTGTCTGTGTGGTGTGGAAGCGAGGATGACTAATTTCAGTGTTTTTTTTGCGAAACGTCAACAAGTTTGACACCCTTCTTCGTATTAAGCCAGAACTTACCGCATGAAAAGTACATTTCTGCAGGCAGTTTTTTATTACAACTTCCTGCCTTCTCCAGACCTTTTGTGCTGTGGCTTCTTCTTTACACATTAGTGGTTTTTGTGTGAGTCTACAGAAGCTGGTACTCAAAGCGGAAGTCAGTCCTATCAATGTCAGTCAGTCCCTGCTCAGTGTGGCATAATGGCAAGCATTTGTGACTTCTGGGGTTGTTAAACATAAAGTGAAGCAATGAAAAGAATATTTATGGCTATTGTGATTAATACTTAGAAAAGATTTTAATGCAACAACAATGATGATAATGCTCCTTTGTACATTTACCAGAAGCATATTTGCATTAATCAGTGATCTGGCCTCAGTGTTACCTGCTTTGTCAGATAAAGAAGAGAGCTGTATACTAAAGGTATCTTTCACACAACATTAATAACTTCTTTCTTCCCACAGGCCACAAACCGAGCAGCCTTCAACAACCAACTCTGGCCCTTCTCCTTCACGTAGCATTCACACGACGACCACCACGGCCCTCTCAGGTCAGACCGGGCCTGCCCGTCAGAGCCAAACTGCAGTGGGAGGAGCCAAACCAGCCACTCTGCCGGCCAACCTGGATGAGTTCAAAGTAATTTAAACAGACAACTTTACCAAATGCTAGAAATCAAGCTGTTTAAACTTTTTATAGGCTGGAAAAACTAGAAAAATACAACTATACAAGATAAGATAAGATATGCCTTTATTTATCTCACATTGGAGAAATTCCCAGTGTTGTCAGCAGCAGTACACACAGATATACACACATAATAGACAAGATAATGTTTGAAAAAGTGTTTGCTGTTGATTGTTGGTTAATAAAAATAAACCCACGATCCAACTTTTTTGTGCACAAGCCTGAAAGACAGTCCCAAACTAAATTGCTTTTGATCCTGTCGTTTTCTAAGAGGTTTCTATTGAAAAGACTGCTGTCGTTATGCTGTCATATAATATAGGTTTAGCATAACCTCAGCCTCAGCCATAGCCTGCCCTGTGGCTCCTCAGAAATGTAACTACACATCACACAGACCACAAAAACAGGCCACTCTGTCTGCTTGCGTGTAATGTGACATGTTTACGTGGCTTATTAATTTGCCTAAACATAATGCTTCTGTAAATGTAATAGGATATAACTTTATCTGGATTACTGATAATGCCAACACATCCTGCTAATGTAGCCCTATGCCATTTTCTCATGTTCAGACCTAACAATCCATGTATAGGCTCAATCAGTTCTGCCACCTTTTTACTTTTCTGAGTCCAACACGAGCCACTTTAGTCAGCATTATTTGGAGTACACGAAGAAACTCAACACGGTGGTTTCCTGCTGACGAAAGAAAAAAAAAACAGTGAAGTCAATCACAAAGTGCAGCAGGACTCAAAAGTGTTTAATGGTTAAGTTTAAAGTTTGAACACAAACAATCTCTGAGACGAAACATTTGGCAACTGACCATCATAATTTTATTCACCAAGCGTATTTGCAGCAGCAATGTCAGCCCTCAGATGCCCTTTAACAGTCCAGCTAAATGAAGTTCCACTTAACTGCATGTTTTTTTTGTTTTTGTCTGTTCTCACTTTGAGTCAGTACCTGCTACATGAATGCTGCTCTGGTTTCTCATCCTCCAGGTTGCTGAGTTGAAACAAGAACTGAAATTGCGTGGTTTGACCGTCTCAGGCACCAAGAATGATCTCATTGAGAGGCTCCGCAACTACCAAGAGCAAAATGGCGGCAGCACAACAGTTTTGAAAAATGGGATATCTCAATCTGGCCTGCAGAGCACGACCTCAGCTAGCACCACCACATCCTCTCCAACCACGACTTCCACCCCCGACCACCAATCAGTAGAGGTTGGGTTTAAATTAGCTTTGTCCTCATTGGCTCAGGCGGTTCCAGGCCGGGTCATGCGATTTGGCAGCACCAGCTCGAGCCCTCCAGTGTCGCCTACTCCATCTGAGAGGTCGCTGGCAGGGATGAGTCCAGATGAGACAAGCTGCAATGGAGACATGTTTGGAGAGATGGTGAGACCTAAACACTACTGCCTTTGTTAAATGTATTCTTGCTGATGTTCTTCTTCCCCCAGACCTTCCCCTAACATACACTCTGTTTTGTTGTCCTTCAGGTGAGCTCTCCCCTCACCCAGCTCACCCTCCACCCCTCTCCTCAGCACCCATCAAATGTCTCTCCACTCTCGCAGCCTCTCTCTGTGGTCAAAGAGGAGATCCAGAGCTCATGCAGCCTGTCCAGGTCTTCACCTGCATCCGCCCATCCTCCAGAGCCCCTAAATGGAGTAGCAATGGACACATCATGTATGGACAAAGACCAGATGCTGCAGGAGAAGGACAAACAGATTGAGGAGCTAACTAGGATGCTGAAGCAGAAGCAGAGGCTGGTGGAAACTCTGAGGTCCCAGCTGGAGCAGGGCAAGATGGCAGGTGGGACAGTGGTGAAGAAGGAGGGAAATGAGAAGAGCAAAACATCCCCAGAGGTTAAACTCCAAACTCTAATAAAAGCCTCGGCCATCCAGCCCCCAACACTCCCTAACGGCATAGTGTTAAAGGTGAAGAAGGAGGTGGAGCCTGAGGAAGGAATGGAGGGAGTAACAGAGGAGGCCCAGGCAAAGAAGCTGGCCCAGCCAATGCAGTGCTCTCAGGAGACTCTGCTCAGGCTGCAGCAGATTCAACGGCTGCAGGTCCAGCAAACTGAGCAGCAGAAGCAGCAGCCGCAACCGAAACAGCAGCAGAGTCAGGTGCAACTGCAGAAAGTGGCGGAGGCTAAACTGAGCCCTCAAAAACAACAGCAGACGAAGAAAGACGCCCAAATCCTGCTCCGTCAGCAGCAACTGCAGCAGCTTATCATACAGCAAACCCAACACAAGCAGCTCCTGGACCAGCAGAAGTTAGCACAGCAGAAACTGGCCCAGCAGAAACTCACACAACAGAAGTTAGTGCAGCAAAACCAGCTAAAGCAAACACAAGGGCACATCCAAGCTCAGCAGAAGAACCAGGTTCAGCTGAAACAGGTTCAGGTGCAGATCCAAAACCAGACTGGGACAAGTCAGAAGCCTGTAGGGAGCCAAACACATCAGAGGAAGCAGCTGAAGGCTCAGCAGAGGCTGAAACAGCAGACGGCAGCAGCTACCACACAACAGGTGAGGCAGTTAGAGGTCCCACATTCCTGAAAAGTTCAAAATAACACATGGCCTCTAAAGACTGAGAGTACAAATACAGCACATTCCTCTCCTAACAGATTATATAATAAGTTTAAGTTTCCTTGAGTTTAAAAATGTAAAAATCTTGAATACCAGTGGAATAAAACAACCTCCTATGTGATTTCTGTTTCCAGGTGACTCCAGTTATCATCAACCAACAGAACGGCACTCCACTCCACACTCAAGCCATTTCATTAGACCTCCTCAAGGCCAACGGTACACCCACGCTGGTCACCGATAGCAACGGCAACCACTACCTGATAGCTCTTACCAGTAACACCACGGACGGACAGAACGGAGTGACCGCATTGGCCAAAACCAATGGACGTATCACACTGCAGGTACATGGTGCTCTCAGGGTTTTTTCTGGGTCAGAACGGGCCTTTGAGTGGTGACTACATATAAAATTAAGCATGATTAATGATGTGTGAACTTACTGAACAGAACTGTAAGTGCTTTCTCGGTATTTCAGGCTTTTTCATAAACAGAGACGTAAATTGTGCCTGAGTAAATTTAACTCTCATTGTGCCAAACATTTATTGATGCGGGAAAAACCCTGATTCTGATAATTCGATAAGATAGATCTAATTTAATCCTTAAGGGAATTCTTGAATACTTGAAATATTTATCTAGATATTTACCTAACAAAACAAAAACAATACTTATGTGTTACTTTGTCTACATGTAATTTTTCAGAGATTGCAGTCAACTCCAAGTAAACTCCCGAGCGCTGACAGCCAATCAAAAGAGCAGCCAGAGGTCGGGCCTGTAAGTCAACCAAACAAAAAGGTACGACAGAGACTCCATCTTACATGACAATTCCTTTACTTGTACATTTGTATGTAAAGATGCTAGCAAGTTACCCTTTTTTCAACGTAGTGTCTCACTTTAGGTTGCAATTTCTGCAGATGCTAAATAAATATGATGTAATTAAGTAATTAAAACTGATTTTATATCTATATCAAATGTAAGTCAACATAAAAGTTGTTTTTAGGCAAACACGTCTGCTTAACAAATGTAGTGCAACACTGTACCACATCAGTACCATCATCCTGCCACAAGGTGTCGCCACTGACATGGTTTAAAATCATCATCATCAGAATGTGGACTGATAAAATGTTAAGAAGGAGCCTGTTTTTCCAGAATATGACTTCACCAGCGAATCACAGTTGCAGAATGAACATAGTGATGTCTGTTTTTCTGCAGTCTAAATGTGTCTTTGTCACTCTCGTCCCTCAGGGACAGAAAGCTGGGCTTCACTTGGACACCAATGGTGCTCCACAGCCCAGCCTGTCAGCCACCGCTCCGCCCAACCTGCAGCCTTTCTTCGACGACATGTCGGACAATGAAAGCCAAAGCAACTTAATGTCACCTCTCAAGGTAACTCCAACACCCACGGTGCTCTTCAGAGCTCCAACGAGCATGTCATCTCTACTGCTCAGTCTCCCTTCACACGTGTTGTAAACCTCATTTAATTTTTCTTCTTGTTCTTCTCTTCTCTCATTTCATCACTTCATCTCACCATCCTGACAGAGAGAGGAGGTGTGTCCGCCTTACGACCGGCACACACTGTTCACCCCTCCCTCTCCCAAACCAAACACCTCCCTTCCTCCTCAACGCTCCAAAGTATGTCCTCCAGTCTGTCTTTTCTTTCCATCCCTTTTGCAGTATTGATCTCTTTTCTGTCTCTGCTTCCATCTTCCATCTTCTCACACTGAGCCATGTGCTCAAGTTACTGAACTCAGAGGACAGTTTTGTGCTCGACAGCTGCATTGATGTTTTGGTTGGATTTGCTGTGTAATAATGGAAGATTGTGGTGCTCTTCTTGATGTGTGTTTGACTTAACAGCATCACATCATCTTTTATTGCCATTAATCAGTAATGTGAAGGCGGTTCTATTACTTCTTTGTTGTGTTTTTTGACTTTACTCACTTTCCTCCGTCTGCCTGATTCACTTCTTCCTAATTGAGTTATTGTCTGTTTGGCCAGAATGCTTTCGGTAGCTGTGGTAAATGTGTTGCATTTAGATGTGAAACGTCTGCAGGAAGAAAATAGTAGCTCACTGATCAGTCAAGTGTTTCCAGGCATGACAAAAAAGTGAGAACTGAACTTGTCTCAACAGCCACAATGCATTATATTCAGGTCTTGCCGTCCTAGTTTTAGATTGAAGTCACTCCTGCTACAACCTGTTTTTGTTTTATTTGCATAAAGCCTATTTAACAGCACAAACCAGACAACTTGAAAGCAGATGGTCTGTGTTGAATCTTTTAGATCAGTTTCCAGATTCAAGATGAATTTATTTATACACATTTCACCAACAATTCACTACACTTTAAGCAAGTGTGCAGGACTTTTACATATGAGTGGTCCTCCATGACATTCAAGCCCTTACCAAAGGAGTTCACACAGTGCTGATTAAGCCAGCAGAAGGTCAATCTGTATTTGCAGTTCACCAGAGTTTTACATCTGGATTCTGTGGCGACATTTCCACCTTGGCACACTGGTAGAAATGTGTTTTACGTTTACCAGCAGAAAGTAGAACTACCACAGTGACAGGGACAGACTAGGCTCCAGCAACTAGGAGTATGGTGGGAAAAAAATAGAAAGTGTCCAAGAAAAGTGTCAAATAAAAAAGAAACGCAGCATTCACAGTAAGGAATGCAGTGTAAAAAAGAAAGTGATCAACAGGGAAGCATTGTCCACATTCAAAGATGAGGAGGGAAAACTAAATGTCTTCACCTACATATTTATGTTATGAAGCATCTCCACACAAAACACCAGATTATGATAAAGAAAATATATCTGGAAAGCAAAATTTCTGTTAAAAGACACAAGCTTGATTTTTACTGGCCAAGCAACCAGTTATTATTTTAGGTTTTATGGTATAATCATATGATCTATGCTTGGCTAATTTTTCAAAGAAGTAAAGGCCAAAAAATTTAAAGTTTGTTTCTGTTTTTAAAGTGTAGTTTGTGTTTGCATGTGTAACTGGTGGCTGGTGGTTGATGTGTTCCTCTCTGTCAGCAGGAGAACGGTGTGAACAGCCAGCAGATGGACGACCTGTTTGACATCCTGCTCAAGAGTGGAGGTAAAACGCTGCTGCAACACTCTGAGACCAAGACATCATTAGTCTGTCGGTCTGTATTGATGCCATTTATCTCTGACTGTCATCCTTTAGAAATCCCGGGCTTCAAGGCCAACCC